CGGCCCAGCGCCCTCCAGCAGCCGTAGTGCGGCCTGGGGAGTCGGCGCTTTGCTGGGCAGGGCCAGGCCTCCTGGACGTGGGGCAGGAAGTCTCCTCACGGTGCCAGGCAGCCTCTGGCCTTAGGGTCTCTGCTTGGCTCCAGCAGGGTCTGCCTGGTCCCCCCTTGGCCACTTGCTCAGAGAGGCCTTCTGGGGCCCCCTCACCCCCTCTTTCTGCTCTAGCACTTGGCTGTGCAGACCGAATTCAGGGAAGACTCGGGGAGTGGGGAACGAGGGGGAGAGGCAGGGGCCTCCCCGAGGAGCCTGGGGACCCCCCCACCGACTCCGGTGGCAGAGCCTTGGCTGAGGCAGGTCTGGGCCCTGGGACCCGCCGAGAGCTCTCAGGGGAAGGGAGGGGCTTTGGGGGAACAGGCAGATGCTGGGGTGGGGTCAACATCAGTTTGGTCTGGGGGACAGCTTTAGACAGGACATCTCCATGGGCCGCAGGTTGGCGAGCAGAGGGAGCAGGGTGGGGCGAGCCAAAGCCTGGGGCGGGGTGGAGGTGAGGCAGGCTGTGGGGCACCGAGGAGCATGTCCCCCAACTGCCAGGCCCCAGAGACAGGTGGTGGGGGCCCTGAGACCTGAGGAAGGGAGGAGGTGGCTGCCCCTGCCCTACCCCCTCCTTCCCCCAGCTTCTTGCTCTGGGCTGAGGGTGGGGTCTCACCCCCAGTGCCCTCCAGCCACCTGGCACTACAGGGGGTGGCAGGGCAGCGGGTTTCGGGGGCACTGCCCGCCACGGGTCGTCTTCCCCACCGTGGGTGGGAGGTGGGGGGGCTGGGCTGCTTCTGTCTTGCCCTCCTGAGGCACCCCCGCCTGGTAAGGTGCGGGGGTAACAGATGAGGCCACCTCCCTGGGGAGGATTCCAGAAGGCTGCAGGGGTGGGGCTGACCACACTCGCGTCGCTCTGGCCTTGTGGCCGGGCCCGCAGCGTGTGGGGTACACAAAGACCCTAGTGGGGGGGCCTCTGGGCGGTGGGGGAGGCTGTGCCCCAGGAGGAACAGAGGCCCAACTGCCCAGCGGTTTATTATGTGACAGAAAGCCCACCGGGGCCAGGGGACTCCCCCAGCCAGCGTCATGGGCTGGCGACGTCCAGTGTGGCCTGTGCCCTGGGAGGACCTGAGGGCCCCAGGGCCGGGCAGGCGCCCCCCGGT